ATTTCTTGAAAATTTAAGAAAAGATGTATAATTTTGGATTTTTGATCAAAAAATTCAAAATTAAGTATCTTCTTTTGAATTTTGAAAAACTATAGTAGTTAAAAAATAAAGTAGCTTATTTTTGAGTATAATTTTTTTTAAAATGTAGGTAATTCACTGAAAATAATATATAACATATATAAAATTAATATAATTTGCCAAAATAGTCAATTATGATCTATTTTAAAATTAATATCAATTCACTGAAACTCAACTTTGGATCTTTGACCAAATTTTTGACAATTCGCTAAAAAAAAAATATGACATATACCAGAGATGTCTGGGTCCTGTTTTCACCAAGCTTTACCAGGTCTATCTTCTTTAAAAGAGTGATTATGGCCATTACTATTTATAATATTTATTATGCAGTAGTTTACTCCAGACCTTGTAAAACCAAATCCTAGTTTTTGTATATTCAAACAATAACCCACCAATTCTTCTTCTTTGTAGCTACTTTTTTTATTATTATTATTATTAAGGAGACCTTTTTGACCTGAGGAACGTTTTATTAGAATATAAATGGAGTTTTATAATGTAGTTATAACGATAGTATATTAAGCCACACGTGTATCTTTTGAGTGCCTAATTTAAGTAGTCTGCCTGAAGGTTCTACACTATCTGCCATACCTACACCCCAACTAGAAGGGTACCCATTTAAACCATCTGGTTCCAACTACCTTCAATATAACTCTAACCCGTAGATATTACTCACCATATGGTTGTAGATTTTGCATCTATTTATAAGAATTAGCACCCTACCTTAGGATTTACTAACTTAAGCTAATCTATCCTTGAGATAAACCTAACAGAGTGGTACATGTCCCACATATATATTCACCTGCATGTTCTGCAACAGCTTCCTAATTAGTACATATTGACCTGCTATTCCATATTCATATCTCACACTATCTTTTGGGGTGCTGCTGTTCTACAGACATTTCTTAAGCACCAACCTTCCTAATTAGGTGCCTATTATATACTCCTTGCCCTTATCCAGTTCACAACAACCCTGGTACCCACATTCAAACCATCTTCTTATCCGAATTCTTTATCGGTCCCTCCCTTACTTCCAGCCGGCAACCTGGACGAGTTGGTCTGCCCAGGCTTTAGGTGCCTGAAGGACACCCTCCTCTTGGTCTATACTTTTAGAGCATATGTCCTTTTTCTCCGATGTGTTGGCCTGGCGGTTTAGCTGGTATGTCCCCCACTTAAGGATCTGATCGCTTGGTTCTTTAATTTCGGGCACTAGTTCGAATTCAGCCCTCTTGTAGTACCATTGAAGATCACTGCTACCTCCAAATTCAGGATTTGCCAAATAGGTTTTTGGTTATACCAGTTCCTCAGATTTATTGCACCAAAGCTTCCATTACTAGATGGTGTGACCAAAGTTACAAATTAAGTTCTAGATCCAACCAATAAGCATAGCCGTTAACCAAAACACAGGTCTATTTTTCAAATATCATCGCCAGTGGGATTTGAACTCTAGACCTGCCACTTGGAGAGGGTAATGACTAGACCACTACACTAAGTCGCCACACCTCTTCTTTGTAGTTACTTAAAACTATTGTAGGGACAAAATTATCTAGTATATTATTTTTTTCAAATGTATGTCTTAGAGTTGTTTTGCAAAGCCGAATTTTGATTTAGCTACTTATATACTAAGTGGGTTAAGATTGTTAAGTACTTTAAAAGCTAATTTTATAGTATTTTTATGTTTAACTTTTTGTCTTTTTTAATTTATTAATAGAATCTTTGGTTCTAATTTTGGGAGAATTAAATTTTTTATTGCTTGACATATTTATTTTGTTTATTTTTTTTTGTTTATTTTTTTTGTTTATTTTTTTTAATTGCAAAATTATACAATTTATATTTAAACATGCTTTTTATTTTTTTAATATAATTATAAGTCAATAGTTTATTATTTACAAGTATAATCATGATCATGATCATGATTGTGGTCACAATTGTATATAATTATAATCATAGTTGTGTTTGTATACAATTATAGCCATAGTTATGTTTGTATATAATCACAATTGTATACAATTATGACCATAGCTATGTTTGTATGCAATCATGACTATAGTTATATTTTCATGTTTGTATGTAATCACAATTGTGGTCATGATTGTATATAATCACAATTATATTTATATTTGTATACAGTTATAATTGTAGATAATCATAGTTAAGATTATATACAAATAAATAAATAAAGCTAAACAATTGCAATTTAATCTAAGTCTATAGTTAATAATGAAAATAATTCTAAATTTGATAACACAACCCATAATTTTAAATAATTATAATAGTACCACTCATTTCACATATAGTACCATACTTCTAATAGATTATTTGTATAACAAAACTCAAATATTTCTTTAACTGCATATATTTAAATTTGTTGTAAATCTTGAATAAATTCTTGATTAATTGTTGGTATTAGTATATATTAGTATAAATGTTTTTTAACAAATTTAAGAATTATATCTTGATAAAAATGCAAACAAAAAACTTTAGACCATGTTTGTTATGATAATCTTGTACTTGTATATGATAAATTAATAAAAGAATGTTGCTAGTTTGCTTCAATTGAATTATAATAAATTTTACTTTGTGTTGATTATAAAAGTTTTTGCTTTATAGCACAATTAACATACCATTTTGCAAAATTGTATATTTGTATTTCTTCATATAGCCTATACACTTGAAATTTGAGTGAAATCTTTAACTGATAAAAATGTTTTAATATTATCTATTCTATTGTTTCACAGATATAAAAACCATTTTGTTAAAATAGATCTTATATCTCAATTTTTGTCTATAGCAACATATAAATAAGAAACTGGAAATCCAGAATAATCAATAGTAGCCATTATAACATATAGTTTATATCTTAACCTATTGGTATTATAGGTTGCATCAATTAAAAGACATTCATATGCTATTTTTAGTAAAAAAATAGCATCAAAAATACAAAATAATCAACAGGTTCAGATATATGAAAAAGAATAGTATAATTTTCTTCTTGTAATAAAACTTGTACAAACAAAGATTCATTATCAGCTTGTTTGTATTGAACTATATTAACTTTTGACCACCAATAATAAACTTGATTTTGAGTTAATGTTTCAAAACCAGTCATTTGATTTGAAACAATTTTTTTATATAATTCAACCACTGTATAACTTGAATTATTTGTAATAAATTAATAAATTCTTTTATATCATTTGTAACATTAATATTTTCTGGCCTTGGATGCAAAATTTGATGACTTATTTTAATAATTGCAAGTTTATTTTCAATATTAACTTAAATTGAAATATAACCATCACATTTATATCGATTAAGTCTTGAAGTAGTATCATGCTGTTTTTCTTTATCTAAGTGTTTTTGTGGCTTTTTAATACAATCTGCATGACAGTTACATCTATAAATAACTGTAACAGATTTTATTTTTTTGTGTGTAGTTTTGGTATGGTATATATAACAATATCCGTCACCAGCTTGTATATTTTCAATAAGCTTATTTGCAATTGAAGATTCAGATAAATCACTTTCTTGAAAATCTAAAAGCTCTGTAAAATCAACATTAAGCTCAAAAAAAAATCCAATATCACCCTCTAAATTTTCATCAATTTCCGGTATTGAAATTAAAGAATCATAAACAGCTTGTGTTAAATCACTTGAAAGTATAGAATTTTGAGTTGTGTCAAAAAGATCTTTTTCATTTTCTTCCTCATATCGCCATTTTGAATTTGTTCTTGCTCGTTCCAAACACTTATTACAGCTAACTTTTCCTTCACAAAAATCTTCAAGTTTTTTATCTGATCGGCAACCTTTACAATATTTTAAAATTTCGCTTGACATTGTGTAAAAACAAATGGCATTAAAACGAAAAAATTCATTTTATTAAATTGATTATTAATAAGAAATATCGTCATCACTGTAACTGTATTTTAAATTAAAGCTCAGTTACGTAACTTTTTTTTAGGGGGATACTAGGTTCATCGGTGAAATTCACATCAGAATATGTTTTATTAGAATTCAGCGCAGGTTTCCCCTGATATAAAATAATTGTAATTTATAGATAATATTGCTTTTTAAAGTTATTAGTTTTTTAAAAAATAATTTTGAACTTTAAATAAAATCGGGTTATTTTTAATTTTAAACTGGTTTTATAATAGGCTTTGGCCTATAGTCCAAAATAAGTGACATATTTTCAACAATAAAACTTACCATGGTAAACTAAGTTTGATCACAGCAAACTTAGTTATGCACGATTTAATTATAGTGAAACTTGATCGGACAAACTTGAACTAGAGAAACTTGAACAGAAAAATTGTCACGACAAAAATTTGAATCTTTAATCGGTAAACCATTTCTAATTGGCTACTGTAAAACCAAGATCAGCGGGTCGCATATTTGCAACCAATTAAATAAGACTTCAGTTATGCTGTATATATATAAGTGATCCATGCTTTTTTTGAATGTCTACTTTTAATAAAAAATATCTTATTCAAATAATATTCAAATAATATTCAAATAATAAGTTAAATTACTTTGCTTTAAGATATATTTATTAAAAGTAGGTATTTGTTTTACGGTTTTCTTCTCCGTCACTCGTATATCAGTATAAATTTAATCAATATCAATCGTTGACTACATGACAATCTACCATTCGTATAAAGACTTGATAAAGTATCATTTTAACATTTATATTACGATTTCATAAAACCAAAACCTTTTACCTTTTTTTTACTTTTAATATCAATTGTAGACATAAAATAGTATGTAAAATTTATTTTAAAGGTTTCTTGGCTATATATTGCAAAGTTTGATCTATAATTATTTTTTCAAGCGAAATTAAAGATGATAATAACAATGAACGAAATATTACCAGCTCGGCATAACAGTTAGCCTTCTTATTACCTTGATGCTATTTAATCCGCATGTGTAAATTATTGATATAAATCATCATCATCGTCTTCAGGTATGGCCCGTTTATTTCTTCTTGAACTACCTTCGGATATTCTTAGTGGTTCACCAACAATATTAGAACTCTTCCAAGCAATTTTACATGCTGGGCAAACTTTTTCATTTTGCGACGAAAAAAAACGACGTGCACAATGATGGTGAAAACGTGATTTACACTCCAGTACATCACAGCGTTGACCCTATATTATGAACTCAAAATTTCAGATCTACATACATGCAGTGTAAAAAACATTAATAGCATTATAATAAAACCTTAGTAACAATATCATAACATAATGTGCATTCAATAAGATATTCTTCGAATTCATCTTTCAGATAAGCTTGCAATTCGAGAATTGTTCTTTGGCTCATAGAATATTTTCCACTTCTAAATACAAAGGAGGTGAACTCATGTAAGCATGATTAAATATTTTATAAAAAAAACAAATCTACTTGTATAGAAAAAACTATGCTATGATTCGTAACTGTGATTGAACCAGCCATTTATCATCAACAAATCGTTGCAAAAGAATTTCTGCAGCACTTTTTGAAAGTTGTGTCTTGATTTTTGAAGCTTCTTTCAACGCCATAATCGAAGATGCGGAAAACGCGTCATCATCCGCAGTGACGATAAGTTCAATCTTTTTTGGAAATAACAATAAAGCAAGCTATATATCATAAATATATATATATATATGTATAAAATATTACGAATTGTATACCAATCGTTTGAAGTATGAAATCTCAGCAGGCGAGTATTCTGTAGCTAATTTTGCAATTTCATCACCATTAGTGTTGACCTTTTAAAAATTGATCGAGTGTCATCCATTAGTCAAAGCAAATAATAGTAATAAGTAATCATAATAATATTGTAGCTCACTAGAGCCCAAACTGGATTTCCATCATCTTCATCATGACTTCTTCGAAATTCCATATCAACAAGATTAAGCTTTTGATTAATTGTTGAGATAAACTCTTGAAACTCTTCTGGAGCCCTTTCTTTGTTTATTTACGTAGAGAGAATTACAAAAATGTGAAGCGAGAGAAGTATTTAAATGGCAAGGATGGATAAAAGCTCAGGTATTTTAAATTCCATTACGGTAAATCAAACTCTTGCGAGAAACAACTACCATTATTTGCGCTACAAGCTTTTGTATACATATCAATAGCCTTGGCTTCCGTGAAGAAGCGCTCTGACATAGAGGCTTGAACGAAAAGACGATGTGCGTTTGTGTAAGTCATATTGTTGAAGCAAATTTGGTTCTATTAGGATATGTACGCGAGTGCTCAACTCCTACATTTCATTTATATATGTGATAGTCGGCCAATCAGAACCCATCCTCGACACAGTCTCATCACGTGATACACTGTTAGCGGAATTTATGTGGACAGGCATCTCCAAAATCGTAAATTTTACTACTGAGTAGACTTTTATAATTTATAATTTAACTAACTTTAGGGTTAGGACCGCCTCAGATTAGACTAGATGTAGTTTATACAAGAAAAATCGCATTTTTTATTACTGTAAACTGCTGACCTTTCTATGATTTATACCCAATAAAATAATGTACTTCAGAAATTACATCCTATAGGTAAATAAAAATACCCAGATACACTAGTCAGCAGTTTACATTCAAGTTCAAACTGCCGTTTTTTTTTCAAGTTTTTCTTTTTTCTTTACGGTTCTATATACGCGATTATACACCACTTTAGACTAGTCGAAAATCGATTAATCGTTCAGTTGATCAAGTTGGCAATTATTGTGCTTTTTTAACCTCTGCAGATCACAATATCGTGTGGAAATCGGAGATTCTTTAGATTTTAAGAATTTTACCAATTTTGAATAAATTTATTGACTCTTTAAATTTTGTATTATCTAAAAAACAAGACCAAAAAATTTTAATTTAATCAACACATCTTGATCTATATTTTTTGTAACTTCATGATTTTATGAAAGTTTATAAAAGATTATAAATTAATTAGTAAATTTTTTAATAAAATCAATACTTAAAACAAATGCTTGAAAACTTGTAAAATATTTTTTATACTTAGAAATATTTTGAACATTTTGCATATTTGTTTTTTTTTTTTTTTTTTTTTTTTTTTTTTTTTTTTTTAATGTTAAAGGTGAGACCATGCTCTTATCTTTATTAAAC